AGGCAGAGACATGCTGAGCAGGGACAACCCCACACTTGGCCTCTGCCCAGCCAGGCTTTCCCACCTGGCTTCCCACAGGATTTTGGCAATACAGGAATCCCAAACAATAAAAGCCCAGGGCTACAATTCACTTAGCACAACAGAGTGCCCACTGAGGGAGAGCACACCCAGAGGGGTGCAGGGCTCTTGAGGTCTGTCCGGAAACATATGGCACCAGAAGCATCCTTCCAGCAGGGCTGAGATGCTAGAGACATCAGAAGTGGCAGCTGCAGACCACAAAGGGCAGCTGAAGAAGAGACAGAAGACCCCAAAAAGATTTGTTTTCAACCTCCTGCCCTTGACAGGATTTCACCTTGCTGCCCCTTTGCTGCAGGGCAAGGGAGATACTACCGGGCAAGCAAGACCCTGCAGGGCTGGGACACAGAGCTAGGCCTCTCTGCCAAGACATGGGGCCAGCACCGAGATGGACTCACAACACACTGAATTGTGCATCATTCCACAGTCCCCCCCAGTCCATCACCCCAGAGCCTCTTCTCTTGCTTCACACCTCCACAGCCCCCCAGGAGAGCAGCCAGCCTGCTGGAAGCTGGTGTCCCTGCTGCCAGCTGCTGTGGAGTCATGCAAGCTCAGGTGGCTTCAGAGACTCTGTTCAGGTCCCAGAGAAACCCATGTGTCTTCTCCCAGGCCCAGGCCCAACAAGGGCAACCATCCCCAACACACAGGGACAGCACAGGGGGGTCATGAGTCAGATACTGAAAGGGGCCTGAGCAACCTCTCCTCACGTGGCATCACATTCTCATCCCTATTGCATTTTGGTGCAGAGGCCTCACAAACCTTCCTCTGCTCCCAAAGCCTGGGAGACTATGTTGCCCACATCAGATCTTCGCAGAGAGCATGCAGTCAGGAAGCCAGACTGAGCAGGAACAGCACCTTCCTGTCTGCAAGAGACACAGCCCTTTCAAAGCCTCTCCCCCAATATTCTGCAGGAGGGAGACCTCCATGGGGTGCAGGGAGCAAGTACCTACCAGGACCTGCAGCAGCACAGGAGAGGCAAACAAGTTGTTGCCCAGAAAGCAGAAACTCCACACAAACCATGACCCTTCCAGGATCCAAACATCCCATGCAGCATTTCATAAGAGTGTTTCTGTAATGCAGCTCAACACACTCAGCTGTAGGCTGGCACCATCTCTTCCCACCAAGCCACATAATTGTGCCGCTTCCCTTGAGGAAGATGAATCGGTTCAGCTGGCTGATCCGCAGAAACCTATTTACCTCCTTCACCCTCAGGCTCAGTCTTCCATTGGATCAACGAGATGAACCAACTCACACTGCAGCAACATCAACAGATGCAGGACAAGGAAGCAAGGGGGCAGATGGAGTCTCCCATTAGACCAGCTTGGCTGTAACACAGAAATACTCCTTCAGTAAGGAGGCTGGTGAAGATCAAACATAACAGTGAAAAGCTACCAACTTCTTTCATTAGGAGCCTTTTACCAGAGAGACCGGCAGGTTTCCTTCTGCTTTACCTTTCATGTATCCTGCTCCTAAAACAATACAGCAAGGTATTTGTGAGAGTATTTGTAAATATCAAGGCAGGGACAAGATCATGGCGTAAGCAACTACTACTGTGCTACACCATCCCATGCTTGCAGGCACTGTGCTCTTTTTGTGCTGTGTAGGTGCATTTTCCCCCGTGATTTATTAATGGCTTGCTTCAGTGAGAGAGTTTGCAGAGGGCTGAACCACTGAGGTGTGAATGAAGAGCAGCATGAATGATGTGAGTCAGAGACCTTCCCTCAGAATTGACTTTATTATGCAAAGCTTTTTTTTTTTTTTTTTTTTTTTTTTACAAGGACAACTGAAAAAGCATTTTCAAGAGGCACAGAAGGCGTCTTGCAGGAGGGCAGAGATCAGCTTGCCTTGGCTTTCGCAGTTGAGGAGGGCTATCCTGGCTGGAGAGGGAGCAGGCTGGCAGGCCGACCGTCTCTTGAGCCTTTCCAGAATGAGATGAAATTTTACAAAGACACTATACATTCCGCAAACGTCCCATCCTTTGCTGGAGAAGTCCGGCCTCACCTCCTTTGCCTCCCACCTTGATCAGGCTGCAGTATCAACTCTCCCCTCCTCAGCACTTGAGTCTGAGCCTCCTTCCAACTTCCTCAGCACACCTTGGAGCAACAAGCTTGGCCGCAGATCTCGCTGTCAGGGTTTTCCATCCCTGCAGATACCAGTCACCCTGCTTTGCCATGCTGAACTGGCCACTATGGTGGGAAATAAAAACAGACACACAGGCATTGTATCACGAGCAATGTCCCAACTGAAAGCATGCTGCAATGGAGGCGTGTGCCTCTCCCCACATCCAATTTCCCTCAGGGACCTAGAAATGGCAGAAGAGCAGAAACTAAGTCACTGCTCCCTCCCCTCTTTTACACAGAAAGTGCAAAGAGCTCCCACGTGCCTGGGGACCAGAGCAGGAAAACCAATGGCCTTCAGGAAACAAGAGCCTTGACAACTCTCATCTCCAGCCTGGATCCCCAACTGACATGAAGAGCAGACAGCTGAGCAGGTATTGCCCCAATCCGCAGGGCAGCAGCCTTAGCACTGACCCCTTGTGCCTCTCCAAGTCTCCCCACACCAGCTGGAGAACCGGTGCTCAGGAAAGATCAGAGCTCTAGGCGGGGGAACAGGAGCGAGGGCTGGGTTCACTGCATGCCTGCTGGGTTTCCTGAGGTGCTGCTGACCCCCGATGGCAGGCAGGCTTGGCCACACTACTACCCCACAGCTCTGCTGCCTGGCTTGTGGGGACAACCCTGGGGCTGCTTCTCTGCAGAATGACATGCGGCTGCGTCTGTGGAGGGACAGCCAGGGCTGCACACTGCCAGAGCGCATAATGGTGAACATGTTGACCACCACATCGCCCTCCTGCACGTCAGGGTCACCACGAAGGGGACTGCTTGGCGGGGGACACTGCAACCACAGGGGACACCTTCCACAACCAGTAAGCGCTGGTGAGCCAGCACCAGAGCTCTGGGAGAGAGAAAAGGCAGCAGTGGAGGAAGGCAGGGACCCAGCTGGGAACCCTCCTCATTAACAGAATATTAAAACTGCCTTTTAAAAGCACTGCCTGAAGATCTCTGCTCCCTCCCCCACCTAGCACAGCAGATAATGAAAGAAGGTATACCTGTCATCCCTGGAGTCCTCCTCCTGCCCAGCGTGGCTACTGCCTCCACCTTCATAGCTGGCTCCAGCGACACCCCAAGCAAATCCCGAGATCCCAGCCAGATCTCTACATCTCCCCGTTCACAACTGCCATCCTTCTTGAGCTCCCATCACATCACTGCATGCAGCCTCCACGCAGGCTGCCCGGCAGAGCGAAGGGGGAGGGTTGAGGACAGCCACACGCCATCCTCCACCCTGCACCCTCGCCAGTCTCAGCCCAGCTTTAGCCGCTTGCCCCGAGCAGCCCCATCTGCCAGGCACTCCAGATGCCAAGACGCAGTGAGCTCCCGGCGGGGCCAACTTAGGCAGCTGCCCATCCTCTGGGAATGCAGAACCCCAGTGCCACCAGCTACACAGGCTACAAGGCAGTTTGACCCCCAGGATGGGCAGCTCGTGGGATGCCAGTCATGGGCCATGAGGAGCACCGTTGCTAGGAGATGTCAGTGCAGACCGGCAACCCCCGCAGAGGGGCCAGTCAATCCAAAGAGCCTTGCACAGCAAGCATCACGCAAATAAAGAAATGCTGCAGCGTACAGGGAGTCCCGGAGAGGTCAGCCCTTCAGCACCTCCTCTTGACTCCCACCTTGCACAGGGGAGAGAGAAGCACAAGTCAGGCCGGACCTCAGACCTCATCCAGGGATAACAGCCAATGGCATCTGCTCCCCACAGACAGTAACACCCCCCAAAAAGCACAGGCACCCCTTCCTTGAGAGGTGGCTGCCAAACATCCCCCTTCTCTCCTCCAGCACCACCGCCACCTCTCCATCTTGACTGGGGAACACTTACTTGCCATGCTGCCTCACTCGGCTACGGGAGGTTCCTGCCTACCTGCAGGGAAGAAAACAGGAGAGTCACTGACAGCTTAAGTTTCACCCCCTGAAGCCCAAGACCTCCATCGCCCAGGGTCACATTCATGCAGAAAGCAGGGTGCTGTCTGGTGGACCCATGACAGTTCCCAGCCAAGCAGTGCCTCTTCAGAGAGCCAAGGACTCACACTGCCTCCCCACTCATCGCATCGCTGGAGGGACTGGAGAGGCGCAGGGCACCCTCAGCTCTCCAAGAGCCTGGGGCAGGTCTCTGCCGTACTTGTGCTGCACCAGCCCAGGAAGGGCCAGGGCCCTGCCCAAGAAGCCCAGAGGGCTGCAGACAAGTGAAGTAGGAAGGGAAGAATTGGATGGAGCGTCCCCATATCTCATCAGCAGACGAGATGACCTGCACGTTAGAAGCTGCTGGGAGCAACCTGGTGCTCTTCCCTTTCACAAGAGATTGATGGATACAGGTAAAGCAGTCATCCTGTTTTAAATCAACTTCACAGCCATGCCGGTTCTCACTTCTGCAACTCCTACCCATAACCTGCAATAAACAGGGCCATACTGTCTTCTCCACCGCCATAAAGCTGACTACACAGCAGGAAAGAAAAGGATATGCATCTCCTGAAGGTTGTTGGGCCAAGCTAAGGGCAGCAGCAAGAGTGACAGAGTTCCCTGCACACCCAGGACAACAGCTCTCCAGCTGGAAAAGCACCTTTTGTGCTTCAAAAGCAAAACTAAACTAAACGAAACCCCACAAGAGTGAAAAAAAGTCCTGCAGAAGCAGAGTATATTCCTCTCTGCTTGCAGGAGGAGTTTCACTCACTTGTTTTTCACGCTTTGTGTTCTCCCTGTGCTCGATGCCCCACCGATCAGACTATCCTGGGCAAACTCATTTCCTTTTGCCTTGTGTGACACCTTGCTATGGCAAAGCCACAACTCTGTCAGGAGACAGAGGAGACAGGACTAACCAGCTCCTACAGGGATTTATTGTAGATGAAGGAGCAAACGTGGTTAGAAACAGCAAGAACTAAACCACACGCTGATCTTGGGTCCAGGACTTCAGATATTCAGTTATCCCAAAAGCACTTGAATCCGCTCAGCTGGAGCGAGGTCAGGGACAGCACAGGGCCGTTCACGGGGTCAGCGGGGCTAGAAATGCATTTCTCATTTCACGTAAAAGGCAGGTGATCCAGACACACAGGATGGCTGATGCACACCACCACAGCAGGCACTACCGCACCTCACCAACAGCTACCTTCTCAGTAAGTCTAGCACCTCTCCCTGCCAACACCAGGTTTCCTGTGGTTTCTGAGGTTCCTGCACCAAAAGAAGCCAAGCAAGCCTGGAGCTGTCTCCAGAGGCAGAAAGCAGCTACTTTCCAACAGTTTATGAAACTCAGACTGCAGACCTCAGTCTGGAGTTTAAGCAGGAGCAATGGAAAGCAGCAGAGCACCAGAATTACACAGGAGGAGTCTGCCGCTTTCTGCACCCCACAGCCCGCACCAGGAGGCCTTTTCTCAAGAAACTGCGCACCCAACGCCGCTTCTCTGAGCCGTCCTGGGGGGATGCGAGAGCAGCTGAGAGGCCCCTGGGTTCGTGCAATCCCCGACAGGCTGCATCAGCTGAGCAGGGACCACCTGACCTGCTTTTGTTGTCATCAGTTTTTACAAAGAGACCCAAACCCACAGGACAAAAGAACACACGGCATGGAAAACTTGCCACAGTTTCCACACAAAACCTCTGTATCACTCGTTGTTACAGGCATTCTCCCCCTTTGATAAGACAAGAGAACAGAGACGCAGAAATAAGGATATTCAAGACCAGATTTGTCAGGACCCACAGCTCCATAACCCACATCATACATCGGGCAACACATTTAATGCGTCAGGAATATTTTATCTTTAACTTTTTCCCAAGTATCTGTGCCAATGCACCCAGTGTCAGAGCTCAGAGACGGTTTATTCCAGTGCAACAATAAGCCAGGTATATGCAAGCCTACAAGCACAAGCGATGCCTGCGAGAAGGGCAGACATCCCAGACGCTTATTTTTATTTCCACGCGCAAATTTCCTAACCACCTCCCCAGGTTCTGATGAGCAGGAAAAGCTGGACCGCCACATGCACTGACACCAAGGCGAGCAGCATCCCTCCTGCCTCCGCACAGCCACGCAAGCTGAGAGAAGCCTGAAGCTGGAGACTGACCTAGCAGACACCCACCCAGTCCCGGTCCACCCCTCTGGCTTCCCAACATGCGTTCGCCTCCTCTATAAATACCCCATCGATAGGAGGTTGCTAAGGCAACCATGAGGAGGCGCGAGGGATGCAGCCGTGAGTGAGGATGCTGCAGTCGCACATTTGTGTCTCCCCCGGGCTCCCCCCGTCTCCACCCCCACTCCCGTCACCGATGCCAAAGGAGGAAATCGTGCTGGTAAAATATGGTGCACGCGTGGTGCCGGCCCCCCACAGACCTCGAGCCCATGTGGTGGGCACACAGAGAGGTGGCACCTCCTCGCCAGGCTGGGGGGCATAGGTATGGGTCATGGGGATCCACAGACGCCAGTGACGTGCACGGCACACAGGGGGGCTGCCGGCTCTCCTGGCATCACGTAGCCATGGCTGCCAGCCGCTCAGCAGGATCCCAGCAATATTTGGGGGTTTCTGCGCCAAGATCCACAGCGAGAAGAAGAGGCTGGACCGGCTCCATTTGCCAGGGACCACGGGCTCCCCATGGGGTGCCAGGATCGCTCACCCTCCCAAAGCAGCCTTCGAACCCCATCCAACCCCACGCGGCTGGTCTTTGCACTGCCCCCGGCCAGCCACCGCCCCGGCCCCTCCATCCTGGCACTAGCCCTGCCTTCCCCAAACCCAACCCCAAATTATTTCCATCTCCCTCAGCTTCTAGTGTCACCCCACAGCAGGGTCCCCCCAACCCACCTGTCCCATCAGCCCAAATGTGAACTTGCCCAACTGAGCGGGGCTTTCTAGTCCCGGACGAACCCCACCACCACACCCCCTGCCCCACTGTCATGCCCTGCCTCACTGTC